TTCCCCCTATATAGTCTGGTTACAAATGTAGGGAGGTAGACTGTGTCCTCAAACTGTGAAACAGTGTTCCTCTCCATATCTCCACATTTACAGGTCCTGTTCAGGCTACATTATTATTCTTATACAGGATTGATATAGCGCCAACAGTTTACAATATAAGGAAGACATTACAATCAGAATACATTTCAAGACAAGATGGTAAGGAGGGCCCTGCCCCTGAGGTCTTGCAATCTAAAATCCTGCTACCAATCTGTCCTATCCTTAGTAAGGTCTGATGTATACTTGGGTTTTAGACTATTTCCCAAAGTATTGTATTTTTAGGATGATCTCAACACAAAACAAGATGTAGCATGGTTCTAAGAAGAAATGTAAATTAATCTTCTAATATTTATATCAGACAAAAGAATAGTAAAAACATGAAAAGCTAATAGAGTGTAACATTAGCAGGGTTTTGGAGAAGAGGGTTTTTTGGTGTTAGATTCCTGTCCTTGGCATTGAACTACCTCATTTTTGTACTGGCTTGGGCCAATAAAGTATGCCAGCATGGTAATTACAAATGGCTAGAACAGGGTAATTGTAACAGGTTAGATGAGGGCTGTAATGTGAAAGGAAAGAAAGAAAGAGCATGTAGTGTAGTTTTAGAACGTGCTAGCAAGGAACTATAAGATAGGGTGCGGTAGGTGTAGGAGGTAGACACACAGTAGATATAGGTAAAGAGACCAGGGCTCGTGTAAGAGGAGGGCAGGAGCAGGTCAGATGTAACAATAAGAAACAGTGTAGGTTAGAGATGAAAGCATGGCCGAGTTAGGATGGGTGTTAAGTAGGAACCTTGGAAACCTCTACAATTGGCATTCACTGTCCTTCTCAACCTGCACAGCTTTCAGTCATACCCAATGCTGTCCCTCTTACAGGGTCGGAATAGGAGGAAGAGCCAGGGTGCAGAAGGTGGAAGCAGAGAAGCATGGGAGATAAGTGCAAAGTATCTAAAGAAGGTGGTAGCAGGTCAGGAAGGAATAGATGAGGTGGGGAAAGAGGTTGGAGCATACTATGTTGGGCAGGAGACAGTGACACAAGATCTTGTGACACAAGATCTGCAAAACCTGCTTGTAGATAAAAGGTCATAATTGGATAATTTGGCCGGCCTGGTCATGCCAGTTTACATTGACATCCTTCATTCTGTGATCTCATTTTTGCATATGTCTTTAGGAGAAACCTGGACAGTCACGGGAAACCATCAATAACTGGGTGGCCAATAAAACGGAGAAGCGAATCACTGATGTCATCCCAGAAGGAGCCATCACAGCAGACACAATCTTGGTGCTGGTGAACGCCATCTATTTCAAAGTGAGAAGATATAATATTGGTTCTGGGGAGGAGGGATGTTTGATTTATGTTCAGTTCTTTGGCTAAAATATTAGGTTCAGGAGGGGAGATCTTCTACTAAAGATCTACTGAGATGCAGGTTATGCTTGTAGGCAGCACAGTTCTGAGAGAAACAGGTCAAGGTCCTACTGGATCATGATTGCTAAGTTTTTATTTTCTGATCAAGAGCTGCTTAGCTATGACTTACTGAGCATGAGAAGTGGCTATACCCCCTCCTGCCATGTTTTCTTCTGTTGAACTATAGAACTCCCCATACGCATGTCCATAATATGGGGTGGTGTTCTGTAGTCCACAGAAGAGAACTATGCATGGCTGATGACACTGCTTGGGATTTTAATGCAGAGTGCATAGGACATTGGGAGCTCACTAAATTCCTGGCAGGGTCAACAGATTATATTTTGTACTAAACAAGAATAATGCATCAGGAATGTGCAAGTCTTGCAGAAATGTACTAGCTTATGGCAAGTGTGCATTTGTAGTGCAATTAAAGTGACTACTACATCCACAATTAAATCTCTGCCATTATAGTCAATGAACAGAAATTGCAGGAGGAAATCACAGAGATGTGACATTGTCTATAAAGGCGCAGAACCTGTTGTGCATTGTTTATCCAGTTTATCTTGCATGAAGCTGCACCCAGGGCTGCATGTACTCTCGCTGCTGCCCCAAGGCCAGGTTCCGCAATGCCCCCCCCCCCGCATCAATGGAGAATGGCAGAATGGCAACCAGATGGCAGGGCTGGTTTTAATTATTTTATTGTTTCTTTTTTTTTTTACTTTTTTGTCACTTTTTTTATTATTTATTTTTTTACTTTTTTAAATTTTTATTTATATTACGTGAGGGGTGATGGGGACAGCTCCCGCTCTAGAGAAACCCAAAGAGCCGGATCCCTGGTGTCAAACCAGTCCACCAGATGTGATAAGTGAGTGGCTCTGTAGTAGACCTCCAGGTCCGGGAGCGCCACCCCACCCCTTTCCTTTCTCATCGTTAAGACCGTGTACCGTAGCCTTGGTTTGCGGCACTTCCATATGTAACGTGTGATGGCCGAGCGCAGTCTGTTAAAGAAGAGGGCTGGAAGATGAAGAGGAAGGGTTTGGAACAGGTAGAGACAGCGAGGGAGCAGGTTCATCTTAAAGAGGGCAATTCTACCGAACCAAGTGTGATGGAGATTCATCCAAGCTAGAAGAGTATCTTCGATTGTGCGCAGTAATGGGGCATAATTCAGGGAGTAGAGGTCCGCAAGGTCCGCCGGGATGCGAACGCCCAAGTAAGTCTTGTAATCTGATTTTAGCGTGAAGGGGAAGGAATCACTCACGCAATCCGCTTCAGCTCGTGGCAGGGAAACATTCAATAGTTCACATTTCTGCAGGTTCACCTTATAGTTGGACAGGCGGCCAAAAAGCTTAAATTCCTCCATCAGAGAGGGAATGCCCACGATAGGGTTCGAAAGATACAGGAGCAGGTCGTCCGCATAGAGACCAAGTTTATGTACCTGGTACCTATCTAAAGTCCCCGGACAGAGTCGTTGCCTCTAATCGCATTGCCAGATGCTCCATCACCAAGATGTAGAGCAGAGGGGAAAGGGGGCATCCCTGTCTAGTGCCGTTATAGATTGGGAATGGGGCAGACAGATTCCCATTGACCCGCACCCTAGCAAAGGGTCAGTGATACAGTGCCATAATCCTGTCGACGAACTCAGTAGGAAGACCCGAGTGGAGCAAAGATGCCTCTAGAAAAGACCAGCTGACTCGGTCGAACGCTTTTTCAGCATCGACCGAGAACAAACAAAAGGGAAGACCGCGGGAGCGGGCGTTATGAATCAGGGTAATTGTGCGTTTAGTATTATCTTTGGGACTACGTCTGGGTACGAACCCCACTTGATCTTTGTGAATGAGCCGTGGGATCAAGTCATTCAAGCGGTGGGCCAGAAGTTTGGCATACAGCTTAACATCCACATTGATCAAGGAGATGGGGCGAAAATTATTGCAGTGCATGGTGTCTTTGTCGGGTTTGGGTAGAACCACTACGTGAGCCTCTAGGGATTGGCGGGGAAAGTGGCAAGTCGATGAGAGGGCGTTAAAGGAGTTCAGGAGAGGGGATGTTAAAATATCCTGAAAACGTTTGTAAAAGCGAACTGTGAAGCCATCTGGGCTGGGGCTCTTGCCTGTGGGCAGTGATTTGAGAATACGGAGGAGTTCAGTGTCCGAGAAAGGCGCCGAAAGCTCCCGGAAGGCAGAGGCTGGAAGCCTGGGAAGTGCAGTGCGCGCCAAATATTCCTGCAGTTGCGCAGAGCGCTCCGCAGGGGTCATGTCTGTAGGGTCGGATTTGAGGTTGTAAAGAGTAGAAAAAAAGGTCTCAAATTCTTTGGTGATGAGGTCCGGGGAATGGACCACGCCATTCCTGCCGGAGTGGATTTTAGGGACATAGGTCGAGACCCGCTGTTGGCGTACTGAGCGGGCCAGCAAGCTGCCACTCTTGTCTCCCTGCTCATAAAAAGTGCTCCTCACCCGATCCCTGTAGGAAGCGTATTTGGCATCCAAATGACACCGGATCTCAGATCTGACACGGGTCAGGTCTTGAAGGAGGAGGGAGGTCTTATGAGCCGTTTCCAGAGTGGCTAGTTCAGCCATCAACCGGGCAAGCGTGGCGCCCCTCTCCCTTTTTATGCGTGCACCGTGTTTTATAAAGACCCCACGGACCGTAGCCCTAAGAGCTTCCCAGCGTATGGGTGCAGGGGTGGGGTCATTCGTGTGATCCAGAAGAAAATTGGTGATTGTGGAATGGATGTCAGCTTTACAGCAGACATCCAGGACGAGAGAATGTGGGGCTTGCCATTCTTCCGGGCCACTAGATGAAAAGGGTAACCCCAGCGCTAAGGAATGCCACGTTCCTGCAGCTGTAGGCTGAGTCGGCGAGGAGGCCTCCGAGCCGGCCGCGTTTCCCGCACCGCGATCTGATGGGGACTGGGTGGCGAGCAGGCCCGAGGTCTTGAAGAAGGACCCGATCTTCGGCCCGACGGCCGAGGCAGAGGTCCTGGCAGTCTGCCTACCTCCCTTCTTGCCCGATCTGCCCATGGCTGGTGTGGATGGGGTGGGATGGAGTTTTCCCTGCGGTCGTTCCCGGGTGCACAGCCGGAGCTCTCCCTACACGCGTCCGTCCACGGCCATGCGTAAGCCACGCCCCCCTATTTAATAACTTTTTAATATATTTTTTTTCCACCTAACTTTATTGCTATCACACAGGAGAGAACAAGTCCCCATGTGTGATAGCAATTGGAGGTGACATGTTCTCTTTATTGACGCTGTCACCTCCAATACAGGAATTCCTGTGACAGGGGAGAGGGGAAGACTGCTCTCCCCTCTCACTGTTTACACGGAGCAGCAGGGTTAGTTTTAACCCTGCCGCTCTGCTCCCTGCATCGGTGGCCAGTAAGAAGAGAGATCACTCTCCTCTTACTGGCCGAGAGATCCACGACATCGCCGAGATCACTTGTAAACGTATAATCGGCTTCCTCACTCTACATTTAGTCCTGCTTGTGCAAAGCAGTACTAAATATAGAAAGCACAACTTACCGCCCGACGCCCGGGATTTCCCCACAAGGACACCGCTGCCGCCCC